GGAAATCCAGTTCCAAGTAATGTAGGCAACAGAGCAAATTGACGTTTCTTGTTATCAAGGAAGGGGTACAGTTAGCTTCAGGGATGACTGGATCCAGGAATCAAATGCCCCAGACTGTCCTTGCTTCTGTCTTCTCTCTACATTGTAACTCTACTCTCTCCTGTCCATGTATTCACTTTGAATTGACTGGAAATGGACCTTGGCTGCCTAGCACTGGAGGTCTACTCATCAGCTTCCTGCTAAAACCAGGACATTTGTATATGAAGATGGTATCAGTGACCCTATCATGACATGGAAAAGGGAAAGACTTTCCTGAAATGCACAGGGAAATTCTTGTGTTTAATGTCTTTTTATTCTGTAGTTTTGTTGCTTTGGCACCTGGGGGCCATGTTGACCCTGGAGGGATGCCCACCCCTTCCTCTTCTGGCCAAGCTGACTCCTGGAGACACCAAATTCTTTCCATATACAAACCACCCTCTGCACAGCCCACACTCCAGCCACCTTCTTTGGTGGGCTCTCACTCAATCACTATCCCCTTGCCCTAACTACTCCAGGGCCACAGTTTAGACTACTAGAGACAGCCCTGTGCCTGAGAGCTTGCTGAAATTGTTTGAACTGCCAATTCTGAGCCTGCTCACCTGTTCCTTCTGGTGGAAATTACAACCAAAGCTCCTGCCGACACCTTCCCCTCATCTTCTGCTCCTAGTAACTCTGGTTCACCCTCGTGTGGCCCAGCAGGGAATTTGTAAGCAAAACAAACTTCTTCCTACTGGACCTCATTTCCATGTCTGTGTGTCTCACTAAACCTGGTTGAAGCAAATCTTGGTGCCCTTAAAACACACCAGCTACAAAAATAGCCTAAACCTGTGGCAGTTGGAGGAAGCAGCATTGACTCACCAGTCTGGGTCCCACGTCCTAAAGTAACTTTGGTGATAAAATGCAGAGTAGTAGGAATCAAATACAGAGGTTAGTGGAATCAAAACAGATCTTATAATCCATTTTCTGAAGCCAGGAACACCATATGGTGCTTAAAATTGAGGAATAGAACAGAGATATATAACTGAGAAATCAGGGAGTGCTGCCTCGATTCTAGTGGTGCATAATGGTTAGGTGTAAATTCTGTCCTCAGACTACATAGGCTCTAACCTTGCTGTCCCCTCGTAGGCACCTGCCCTTGGGGAAGGTACTTCCTGTAAACTTTAATGCCACCTCTGACATAAAGACAGTAATCTCGCCTGCTTTCTAACTGGAAACCGTGGCATGTGCTTGTTGTCATAGCTACTTGGGAAGCTGAGGCAGAAGCATCGTTTAAGCACAAGAGTTTGGGACCAGAATGGACAAACTATCCAGACTTTGTCTTGATGGATAGCTAGATAGGTTGATAGAATCATTTGCACTCTAATATGAAGATTAAGGGAGATAATATTTTGCTCGTGTTAGAGTGTTTAATACTACTTGTTACTATTTCTAACTTTTTTCTTATGCCCAAATTATAACAAAATACAATTTGTTCCTATGCCAAAACAAATATGAATATAAAAATTTATAACAAAGTTTAAACAAATAAAATTATAATAAGAAAATAGAACAAGTAAATAACAGAAAATAAAACAATAACACAAAATAATCCTTTAAACCTCAAAGATGAATGGTCTTATACCATTGAAATGGGTAAGACATGTTAACACAGAAAGCTACAAAGGAAGGCAAATATGACAACATTAAAGTAGACAAAAACACTTGCAGAATAAATCCAGCCAAAAGAAAGTTAAAAGATAAATGGCAATACACTAAATAAACCTTGTGCACACCTATTTCAACAAAGGGATAAATTCTCTCATATACAAAGTTCTCTAACAAGAAAAACAAAGGATCCAACAGAAAAATAGGATAACAATAGAAACAGATGGATCTCAAGAGAAAAAAACCTATAAAAACTCAAGCAGATAGTAAACACATGACAGGATGCTGTATCAGGGGTAGATTTTAGCTGCAAGTAAAGAACAGCTAACTCACAATAGCTCAAGCCAGTTTGGGTTTCCATTTTCATGTGACAGATTCTGAAGCAGGCAAGAGATGTTGTACTGGCATTGGTTCAGCATTAGGAAAAAAAGAAAATACCATGAGGGGAAATAGCTTTTTCTATAGATCTTCTCCTCCACTTTAGTCATCAGCAGATGTAATGCTGCTCCATGCACAGCCATCCCTTGGTATCCATGGGAGCAGAGTTCCAGAATCCTCCTTGGATACCAGTCTGCAGATGCTCAAGTCCCTTATATAAAAAGGTGCAGAATTTACACAGAACCTACACAGTCCTCCTGTAGACCTTAAATTCTCTCTAGATGATTTATGATATCTAAAGCAATGTCAATGCCAAGCTCCTATTGTTTAGGGAACACTGATTAGAAAAGAAAGTCTGTGCATGTTTAGTTCCAATGCAGTTTTTCCCCAATATTTTCAATCTGTAGTTGGTTTGATCTGTGAATGTGGAATCCCTGTATATGCAGGGCTAAAACTCCAATTTATTTAATTAAGGTCAAGTTTGTCCTGGGATTATCTTGGATAAAGAGCAATTAGGTTGAAGCTGAAGACTGTAAGGGCTTTCCTATAAACCCAGTAAACTTCTATGTGTCTCACTGGTAAGAACTGTGCTCTATGACTATCTTTAGCTGCAAGGGATGCTGAGCAATTAAAGATTGAGGTGTAATGAAGAATTTGGCTTCTCTTTATCCCCAGAGGCTGAAAGGTGACCTAAACCCTTGGAATGTCCCCAGTGATAAGGAAATGTTATTCATAGTAGGCACCTGGGACCATACCTGGCAGTCTGCAACAATAAGGTGGCTCAGAATGGAGCTACTCATGCTAGGAGGACCACCATGTGATAGAAGCTTGAACCCTGGAATGAGGTGACATTAGCCTGATCTCTGAGGAGGGAAGGAGGCTTTAGACTGAGTTCAGCCTTGTGGCTAATGATTCAATATATCATTCTTGTAGTGAAATCTTGTAAAAACTCTGGATACCAAAGCATTGATATGTCAGGGAGTTAATGCATCCTTGGAAAGATGAATGCTCCCTGTTTGGAATCCTCTGACTGCTCTCTGTGACTATTCTTTTGGTCAGTTTTGGTCTGTGTCCGTTGTAATAATAAAACTGTCATTATAAATACATTGCTTCCACTGAGTTCTGGACCTTAGGGTGGAGACTTGTGGCTGGTATCTGAAGGGAAGTAAGTCTTATGGAGGACTCTTTCCTTAACTTTGAGCATGGCTAATTTCTGGGTGATTGGCTTCCAGTGTTTCTTAACAGGGCACGATCTGCATTTGGGGGTGGAAAATTCTTATGGAGAAGACTATTCTACAAATCATGGAGCACGGTTATCCCTCTCCCATGGCAACTAAATGTTGGTCATTCTTCCATTAGTGTTAAAAAGCAAACACACACACACACACACACATACACACACACGGACACACACACACACACAACTTGAGATAACTGACTTAAAAAGAAAAAAGATTTATTTTGGCTCACACTTTTAGAATGTCTACCTGTGGTGCATTGGCCCATTGCTTTTGGTTCTGTGACAAAGTAGTACATCATGACACGAGTGTGTAGCAGAGGAACCTGCTCAATTCATGGCAGTTTGAAAGTAAATGAAAGAAGAAGAAGAGGCTTACAATCCCCTTCCAGGTATCCCCACAATGACCGGACTTTCTCCCACTTAGCCCTCAACTCTTAAATGTTCCACCCTCCCAGCAGCATCATACCCGGGGATCAAGCTTTTAGTGCATGAACTTTGGGGGACACTCTTCCAGACCACAGCAGCTGGCATCCATGTCCCACCCCTGAGGTCCTCAGACTCTCTCTCACTCAAGAGCACACGTACTCAAGAGCGTGTGAGGGGCAGTTGTACACATCAGTAGAGAGCCTCCAGCTGAGACTAACCAGGAAAAGGCATACTGTTTTCACAAAAGTTGGGGTTCTGTTAAGAAAGACAAGGAAGGAACATTGGATGAGCAACTCAGAGTATTGTTTATGTACCCTGATTCATGCTAATTAATAAATAAAAATCTATATGAAAAAAATGCACCATTTTCACCCATCAGACAGTCAAACACTAAATATTTTGGTAATACTCAGTGTTGGCAGCATTGTAAGAAGACCTGCATTTGACTTTGCTTTTGGCAGGAACACAAGGCAGTGTGAATTTTCTAGAGCATTTTACAGATAGCTATCAAATTTTAACCACAGTGATCCAGCATTTCATTCCTCAGTACATACCGCAAAGAATCAAAAACACCCACTCAAGTAAACACTCGTACACAAACGTCCCCAGTAGCATTCTGTACAATTGCCAAAAGGTGGAAACAGCCCAAACATTCATCAGTAGATGCACAGATAAATAAGTGCAGGGGTGTATAAATGATACAGGACATGAGGTTCTGAAATATGCTACCACAGGGACGAACCTCAGAAAATGTTGCATCAAGTCAAAGAAGCCAGATACAAAGAATCACATATTACATGATGCCTTTTATATGAAATATCCAGAATAAGCAAATTTACAGAGGCAGAAAACTGAGTGCTAGCTACCAAGGGTTGGAAGATGGAGGAAAATGGTAATCATTGCCTGATGGAGATGCAGCTTAATTCTGGGATGATGAAAAAGTTTTAAAACTAGATAGAGGGGTGGGCGCACATCATTTGTGACTATACTAAATGCCACTAAGTTGTATCATATAAGATACTTAATTTTATTTTACATGAATTTCAGTTGAATTAAAAATAACCACTGATAATTTTTTACCTAGTATTTCAATTTGAAGAATAAAAATTCTACACATTTTGCAGACATGTACGAGATACATGTCCAAAAATATCAAACATAGCAGGGGTTGTGACTAAAATAATCTAAAGTCATATTAGCAAGACTTTCCTCAATAATTGTAGTGTATCTGTGTAATATAATATATACAACAACTCATCAATCTGGAGGGGATTTGTATACACTAATTATGGAAAAACTATATTATCTTCAAAGAGCAAGGTACAGATCAGAGAAATCAGAGTTTGATTTCATCTTCTTATGGTTCTGTAACTTGGGTTATAGAACGTGAGTTCCTCCTGTCCTGAAAGCCAGAATGATATGGGCCCCATGTATACACTTGACATAAATGAGGCAGTGCCTGAAAGCGGGTAGCCTGGTGCCTAACGCACTGAGAATTTCCTGTTGGCAGTCATGATTAGTAGTGTTTCTTGCTAAGATCCATTCGAGCTGCACTGTTTTGGAGTAGACCCTCATAATAACCAAACTCCAATTCTATATTCCTGGCCAGCTGCTGCCCTTGTAGAGTGCTCTTTGTAGCCTGTGTAGACCATCTTGGATGCACTCTGTGTGCGCCTTGGGGCTCCCACTCCAGCTGTGGAGAGGACCAGGTGAATGGAGCCCCCGAGAGGCTCACAGCTTCCGCTCACAGCTCCAGGGCCTCACTGTTCTCCTGGGTCCTGGTGAGATGGGACAGGGAATTCTTCTTATGGCTTAGCCAGCTAGGGTGGGAAATACCAGGGTGCAAACAGTCACTAGTAAAGTTCTGGCCATTCTTGAGTGTTGAAAGCACCTGGTATGGAAAGGCTCCTGTGGGGTAGGAAGCTTGAGTTTCCCTGCGAAGGATGCCCAGTAGCATGGAGAAAATGCAACTCCCAGCCAAGGATAGAAATGCTCACCAGACCTTCCCCACACTGGTGCCTTGACTCTTGTTACACATCTGCTCCTGGAGCTCTGATGCTGATTAATTGCTAGCTGTCCTTTCCTTCTCTCCCTTTCTGTCTTTCAGAGCTCAGGTGTCCTTGGTTTCCAGGGTCAACTTCACCTCGCCTGGCTGAGCACTGACCATCTTGGGTAAAGGGACCTCCTCTGCTGTGCCAGCTGCATCAGGTTATGAACATAATGGCCACCGTGATGGTCATTGATTCTGACACAGCCTGGCAGTGTGTTGGTCACTCAAGATGCTCCCAAAGTAAAGACTATTCTTTTCCACTGTGTTAGAACATGTGATACTTGAGATGGACCCTTGGCAGCTGTGTGCTCCGTGACACCACGCCAGGTTTCAAAGAGACACTTCAGGTATTCAGTTAGTCACGTGGCCTGGAGAGAAAGCAGATACTGCGGCTCTTTTTCAATGCATGGAATTCTCCAGATTCCAGTGTGACTTTGTGTAATGTATTAATCCTTGGTTAGTATCTTGCAGAAATCAGAAGATCTGAGGGAGAAAGAAGGGAGGTACCTGCCTGGAGAGAGCTGGAAGGGATCACAACACATTTTAGCCAGACTCCAGAAGACCCTGGGCTCACCCCCCAGGAAACCTGTCCCCATCATGCTTCATCTCCTCACTGTAGATCCAGGGTGACACCCACCCACTCCCGGGGCAGGAGACGGCATCTGATGAGACATGGGCTGTGCATTTTTTGGTAAACACAGGTTGGGTATCCTTTATCTGAAATGCTTGGGCCTAGTAGTTGGAGTTCAGATTTTAGAAAATTATCACACACATAATGAGCTCTCTTGGGGATGGAAGCCAAGTCTAAATATAAAATGTAGCATAACCAAAGCCAGTAGACACACATGGAGACATTAAGTGTCATGTCCTTAAAGCACTGTAGAGACTTAAAACAATTCACTAATGTTGGTAATTAGGAGCTAGAATGACTGGCTGGGCTGGGGAGGAGGGAATGGGAGTAGTTGTTTCCCAAGCATGGCGTTCCCATTTTGGGGAGGTGAAAACATTTTGAAACAAGTTAGTGGATGACTGCACAGCCCTGTGCATGTGCTTCATGTTGCTGGATTCTATGTTGCAAAATAACTAAAGTGGTGAGTTTTATGTGTGTTTGACCACAGTGAGATTGTACATGCTTTAGGATTTTGTTTGTGTATGTGTGATCTCCAAGCTTTTAACTTGAATATGTATTATTATTATTATTATTATTATTGTGAGTTGGAAGACAGATTGCAGAAGCAGTGGTCACTCATACCTTGGCTTTATTTCCTTTCTGCAATGGGTAAAAATCTCACTTCTTCTGGCTCTGGTGTAGACCGAAGGCATCTAAGCCCAAATTGCATTCAGAGTACTCATGTCAGGGCAAGAACTCAGTGTGCTCTGTGGGGTTAGAAAAAATAGTTTATTGGCAATAATAGGAACCAACAATAGTATTTCCTATTATCCAAATTTTTACTTAAAACATAATAAACTGGAGCAGTTTCCAGGGCCATTCCTACAATAATATCACTTATACTCAGGTCTGTTTGATGTACTTTTTTGAGACAGAAAGCGTTGGGGATACAGGTAGGAGATGGAGATTTGCATGAAACCCCAGTGCCATGTCTTCCCTGAGGGTAGGTGATATACAGTCATGTGTTCCTTTAGTAAATGGTTTGAGACCAACTCCCAGCAGCAGTGGAATTAAAGCAATGGAAACAGCACAAGTCACCTCTCCACAAAATGGAACAGTGGGCTTTCTTTACTTTTGTCAAAACCCCTTGGCTGTGGAACCTGAAATCTGTACCTGTCAGCAGAACTCTGGCTAATTTTTTTTTCTTTTGGTCTATGGGTCTCTTGGGCTCAGTTTCCTTATGATTTAATCTAAAATGTCCCCCAACATTCTCATGCATGGAAGGTGACTGGATCGTGGCAGTGAAATAGCTAACTTGCTGTAAGAAAGCTGGTTGGAGATGGGTCATTAGGGGCAGGATCTAGAAGTGTACATCACCCTCCTGGCGCCTTCTTCTTCTTCTTCTTCTTCTTCTTCTTCTTCTTCTTCTTCTTCTTCTTCTTCTCTCTCTCTCTCTCTCTCACTCTCTCTCTCTCTCTCTCTCTCTCTGCTTCTAGTCACCATGACATGAGCAGCTTTCCTCTGCTATGCCCCTTTGCCATGCCTTTCCTGCCTTGGAGCCAGCTAACCAAGAGTAGACTGAAAATACGAGCCAAAACAAACTCCTCCTCCTTTAGTTAAAGGTCTCACAATCTACAATGTGGGAAAAAATTTTTACCAGCTGTACCTCAGACAAAGGACTATTATCAAGGATATATAAAGAACTCAAAACAATCAGTCCCCCCAAAAATATAGACCCGATCCAAAAATGGGCATCCGAAATGAACAGACATTTCTCATACAAAGAAGTGAAAGCAGCAAGAAAATATATGAAAAAATGTTCCACATCACTGGTCATTCGAGAGATGCAGATGAAAACAACACTGAGATTCCACCTCACCCCACAAAGAATGGCTGCTATCAAGAAATCACACAATAACAA